CCTTCCTGACCTCACTAATACATAGTTTTTCACGTGGGGGAGATTTGAAATGACTCTCAAAATGTTTTCCCGTGCATTGGTGAGACATCCTATCAATATTTTTCATTAATTTGTATCATTTTACTCGATTTTACTTCTATAATTCAGTAAAAACTTGCAAAATAGTTATTGTATTTGAGTTTGTTCAGGAGGAGGAAGAGGGGGAGGAGAGGAGGAGGAAAAGAAGAAGAAGAAGAGAAGAGGAGGGGGAGAAGAGAGAGGAGAAGAGACGAGGAGGAGAAAAAGAAATGAGGAGGAGAAGAGGAGTAAAAGAAGAAGAAGAGGAGGAGGAGAAGAAGAAGAAGAAGAAGAGAGGAGAGGAGGAGGAGAAGAAGAAGAAGAGAGGAGGAAGAGGAGAGCTTCAGTACATCGTTTTAACACTATACTGTATTTTCTTACTACAGAAGAGAACTATTTCACAACCACCACCATCAACCACAATCAACTACTGTACACCATCACCATCAACCACAAGATCAACCCAAATCAACCACATTATTACCTTCTTCACACCATCATCATCAACCACAATCAACACAACCACACCATCCACCACACTATTACCTTCTTCACACCATCACCATCAACCACAATCAACCGCACCATCACCACAATCTACTTAGCGCGTGGTGGTGCGAGAGGAAGACGCGTCAAGGTCAGCCGTGTTCACACACACACACACACACACACACACACACACACACACACACACACACACACACACACACACACACACACACACACACACACACACACACACACACACACACACACACACACACACACTATAACATTTCTCATCCAGACCTGATTTACTACGGTCTGGGTGGTCTTTACACGACTCAGATACCTCAGTGAGAGAGAGAGAGAGAGAGAGAGAGAGAGAGAGAGAGAGTGTGTTACCTACCCATAACCTCTTCCCATCCCGATATAAATCCTCTCACCTTTAAATACAAATGAAAACTAAACAAAGACATTCTTAAAATATTAAACTCTACTTTCAATCAAAACAAACAAGTAATTAATTATCCAGGTTAATACAACGAAAAGGTCGAGACACTTACAAGACACTTAGGAGACACTTACAAGACACTTACAAGACACTTAGGAGACACTTAGGAGACACCTAGATTATAACTTGGTCGTGTGGATCATCGTTCGTTCATAGGCTTATAATAACCTGGGTGAGATAAGGCAGTCACAGCCCCACGACACACCTGAAGATTAGACACCCTGGCACTAACCTAACCTAACCTAACCTTGTCAAACTTAACCTAATCTAAATCTAACCTAACGTTATCTAAAGCTAACCAAACTTAATCTAGACAAATCTAACCTAACCTAATCTAACCCCTCCAAGTAGCGTAGAGTGTTAGGTTAGGTTTAGTTAAGTTGGGTCAAGTTAGGTTAGGTTAGGTTAGGATAATAATATACAAAAAATTTGCTTAGCACAGTTTATATATTAAGTGACGTCATCGTTATTGGTCCAAATGAGTGACTGTTGACCTTTCACTCAACTATGAACCTCTAATCTTTTCCCTGTGTGGCGGCTGGACTGCTGTGAGCATTCCCTTGCATAGCATACAGGGGGTGTACGGTAACCTAACCCTGCCCGTGTCTGTCTGGGACGTTGCTGAGGTCTGAAGGGGAGTGAGGGAGAGGGGATGGAAGGGAAGGGGGTGAGAGAGGGAAGAGGTAAGAGAGAAGGAAGGGAGATAGGAAAGAGGAAAAAAGGAGAAGAGAAAAAAGAGGAAATATTTCTCAATTTTTAAAAGTTGTAGTGTGAACGCGACCACAATCATCAAAGTGGACTTGTGTGAACGCGATCATGAACGTGAAAGACGACCTGTGTGAACGCAGCCAACAACAGCAGGGTCGGCGGCTGTGTGAGGGGCGACCAACAATACAGTGAGTTGGACACAGCGCCGGGAAAATGACGGGTCGGAGTGAAAGGCCGAGCGGGGCGCCTTGTCATGGTACACTGGGACCTTCCTCACTACACCCTGCCTCAGTACACCCTGCCTCAGTACACCCTCCCTCACTACATCCTCACGCACCACACCCTCCCTCACCACACCCTGCCTCAACCACAACTTGCTTCAACCACACCCTGCCTCAACCCCCCCCCCCTTACCTCACCTACGCGACTCTATGACCGGCAGCGTTAACTCAGCATCACTTGAGTCTTAAGGGAACAAACACAAGTACAGACTCTCAGAGAAGCTGGAGCAGAGGGGTTGTCTTCACGTCCCCGTCGATAAGGAAGGGACAGGCGGAAGGGTAGGAGGAAGGGAGATAATGATGGGAGGGGGGGGAAGAAAGGAGGGAAAATAGGGAAGAATTGTGTGGAAGAAGGAAGGGACGGAGAGAGAATGAGGGAGAGGGAGGGAGGAAGAGTCCAGCAACTTGTACTAACACAGGCAATCAGTATCACATGTCACTCAGTTTAAGACGAAGGTAAATATGTGGACAGTGAGAGTGGGGGAGTGAGAGAGGAGAGAAGAATAGAGGGAGGGAGGGAGGGGGAAAAAAAGTGAAGGGAAGGGGTGTGAAGAGGGTGGGGTGGGAAAAGGAGGGAAAGAGTGGAGAAATGGAGGGAAGGAGGAAGGGAACTTTTCTACAATACGACTAAATGATTCAATCTCAATTTTTCTTGAGGCTTGACTATCACACACACACACACACACACACACACACACACACACACACACACCTGCCCCTCTACGCAGGTGTAAACATCGCACCTGCTCCGAAGAACACCTGCGTTTATAACACAACCACAGCGACACATCCTTACCACTCCCGACCCACAACAAGATGAACATCTACTGTACTAAACATTCAGTATTATCCTCCAACAGGTTAAGTGGTTCACAGAGACACGTGTTACCATAAATAATCCGGATTACCCTAAGGTCAGGTTAGGTTAGGTTAGGTTAGGTTAAGCGTGAAGTCTTCTGCAACATTCTGAGCCATCTTGTACATCAGTAACTATTACGTGATCGCTATGAAAATGTATAAAACGGTGTGTTTACATTTGTTTCAGACACCCTGTTTGCCGGTGGTAGATGGGCCTGAGAGAGACATCGAGCTCAAGTGTATAAAAAGATTCGTCTTGTGTTGTTTGTATAACCTTATTTTGCCTTGATGTAACAACCACAAATTTCTTATTATAAAAAAAGAACAAAATTATTAACTAAATACAACATACAAATACATAAATAGATAAATATAATATACTGTATAAATAAAGTAATAAATAAATCTCAATAATTATTGGTCTGGCGAGGGACAACAATCCACGATCTTCTTTTGTTTTCAGGTGTGTCGTCATCACCTGGTTGACTGGACCATACAGGTGACACTCCCATTACGTATCATGGAACTCTCAACCCAAACGGCCTTGTCATTGCTGGTATACACAAACATTGTGTGGGGGGGGGAGGGGGAGAAAAAGTGGGGAGGGGAGAAGGAGAGTGAGGTGGGGGAAGTGGGGAGGGATAGAGGTGGGAGAGATGGGGGAGGTGGTAGGGATGGGAGAGGAGGGAGGGAGGGAGGGAGGTGCAAACATCACCTCTTGCTTGAGCAATGAACACAAATAAGAAGTTATACCTTGACCATCACGTCTTAACTAAAGTTTATAAGTAAAGTAACATCCCATTATAACTTGTGATCTTTAAGTATTAAGTAATACATATACATATATATATATAAAAGTTACGAGTGAGGTTCGTGTCTTAAGTAAATCGTATAGTGTAAACCTGCCAGTTAAATGAAGACAGTAATGTACAACTTCACCTGCATAGATTTCACAACACATCATTAATATTACAGTCGAGGGTCTACATCCGGGTCTGCCTTATGTTTGTCCAGTCGTATCATCAAGTACCTGAGCAGTGATTAAAGCAGGGTCTATTCCTCGTTTATTTATTTTTCCTTATACACATCATTTATATTTCCAAACTACCTGAAACAAATGGGTCAAGGTTCATATTCTTAAAGGCTCGTAATGATTATTTTTTTTTCCTCGTAAGAGAGTATGTACTTGAATTTGACTTAAGATAAAACAGTCTCAAAATGGCATTAGAATTACACTGAGACGTTATCTTACGAGATATATTCATCGTAGGAACCCTCTGAGTCTCTGAATTCTGGTAAGTACACAGAGTTCAGATTTAAATGGTAAAAAATACTTGTAAAAATATTATTAAAGTCATTGCAAATCGTGAAAAGCAACACACTGCAACAAAGCAACATGAAATCAATTTGAGAGAGAGAGAGAGAGAGAGAGAGAGAGAGAGAGAGAGAGAGTCACACAGCTAGGCCACTAACAACTAGTAACTCACACAAGTAAGTTAGTTAATTAGCGTTAACTCATTAGTCTGGGCCATAAATAGCACACCGGGACGACACACGATATGATTAGCTTCTTCAGGTAATCGATCACTCGGTTGATTAGCCAGTCAGATGGTCTGCAACTAATCACCAGTGGTAATCTTAGACACTGAGGGGGGGGGGGGGTTTGGTGGGGCAGGATTGGCCAATGATCGCGTGACTTTCAACTAATTGCAAATCAGGATAACGGGCCCTGAAGCTTAGGGTGATGATTAGCCAATCTGAACCTGATAATCAACTCATCTAATGTGAATTGAGATGATTAGTCAATTACCAATTTATTATCAGTTAAAAACGCAGCAATGGAAGGGGATGATTAGCCAGTCGCCACATGACCCAAGAGAAAAACAACTAATGTACTAATCTTTGAAGCTAAAGAGAATAATTAGCTAAACTTCACGTGATCAGGGAGCACAAAGTCCTACAAACTGATGTATTTTGGAAGGATTAACCAATCATCACGTGATTTTCAGCTAAAGGTCAGCCAACACACCAGGACCTATAGATCTAACGCAGAAGGGGATGGGGACAGCTGCCACACACACAGGGCGTCACTCGCTACCTACAGCGTCGTGTTGGTGTGGTGGGGACGGCGGTGGTGGTGGTGGTGACGGTGTGGTGGCTGACGCCCATGGTGGCCACGAGGGGCGGGGGACTAGGTCCAGGGACCCCCGAGGACCTGCCCGAAGTGAGGGCAGGTCCGCCACCTGCCGAGGATCGAACGGGGTGGAGAGAGGAACCTGCAGCTGGAGTGGCTACAGCAGCTGGTGACTGAGATGCTGTGAAAGGTGGTGCAGTAGCAGTTGCAGTAGACCGTGACGTCTTAACTGCAGAAGGTGGTACAGCAGTGGAAGCAGCAGCTACAGGAGGTGGTAAAGAAGTCCCTACAGAAGACGCCGTAGTGGCTTCTACAGAAGCTGGAAAGGTTGCAACAGAAAGCTGCTGAGAGACAGGAACTACTGGAGGTGAAGAAGCGGCTACAGCAGCCGCAGATGAAGGAGGAGAAGGAGGAGCTACGGAAGACTGAGGAGAAGCATTGGAGCGAGGAGCCCGCTGAGCAGACACGGAGGCCGAGGAGTCCTGGCGCTTGCAACAACCTGCAACACGGGACAACTGATGTACTGAACTGTGTCAACACCTTAACTCTTACATTGTCACTCTTCACGGCCTCAGTTACTGACCTCCACTCTGGGTGTTATGTAGAACTCTTCACCAGGACAGCAGATGAAAAACAAAAGGTACTGTACATAAATGATACATGCATATATTGTTCTCTCGTCTCAGCTGCTCTCACCCTCGTCTCCGTGAGCTTAAATCCTGAATTGAATAAACGTCTCAGTTATGGTAGTGATGTTAATGGTTTCGTATAAAGAGGGGTTATGTGATAGTGACAGAGCGCAATTAACTCCACAGACCGCGATACAGAGTTCCCGCCAAACTATGAGGTAAACACGACAAGAGAGACATCTAGCGGAGTTTCGGGTGTCAGGTCCGGGAGGGGCGGCACCAGCCACGAAGGTGTGTAGGGTAATGATTCCTGGTGTTCCTGTGTTTGTTGCGTTGCTGTGCTTGTTGTGTTACTGTGTTTGTTGTGTTGTTGTTTTTGTTGTTTTCCTAATATTCACAACTATTCCTACTGAACATTTGTGATCTTTGCATATCTATTTTTTTACTAACTCTAACTTTAGACCACTTTTATTAATATTTGTTTTCTTCCGAATTTTCCAATATTATTTTTCCGTTGAGGCGAAATGACATATTATACCAAAACACGAATTTATTTGTAGATAAACATAAAATTTCAAACCATTGGGTGGATTCTCACAACACATAAATATCGTCATGTTGTATCAGCTGGTAAAAGTCGTCTCACCCCATCCCCCCACCACAGCAGTACCTCGAGGGCGAATGTTCCCACCCGCCTCAAATCCACATCAACAAACCTTTAGTCCAAAACCTGTTGACGTACAAACATTTACTCCATCTCCTCTTACTCGTCTCACTTCCCCTCTCCTCAACGCCTGGGAATAACATCGACCTGAACTATCCCCCAACAACGCTTTTGGCCGCCTCACCGTGCCTTATATACCCTATATCACCTGCGGGCCCTCGACACGCCGCACCGTCTTGATGGGATGCGACACACACACACACACACACGGGAAATAGAGCAGTTACCCTCTCCCCTGCAATAACCCCCCCCCTCCCTTCCCCTCTCCCCATACACGTCGTGCCAAAACCTAAATTCATCGCTTTTTTTCTCTTATTCTCTCTCACTTCTTATGTTCTGTTACTCCTCTCCGTTGTTCATCGCCACTAAAAAGAATCTGAGGAATGAGAGAGAGGGAAGGAATGAGGTTGATGTGTTTACAAGGAGGGGAAAAAAATCCTTGTCTTTAAGTGAAGTTCGATCGGTCTAAAAGGTTTACGAATGTTTTGTCGCCTCTTGGTCGCTTAGTACTGAAGAGGACAGACTGTCTAGAAGTGACTGTGAGGGTAAATGTGAACTGAAAATAGACTGTTAGGTAATGAATGTGTCTGTGTTTTATCCATTATTATTATTACTATTATTGTCATTTTTATTGTTATCATTGCAATAATTATTCCTAATGTCATTGTTGCAACTATTGATCTTATTATCTTTACTAACACTGTCAATCATCATTATCATTATCATCATTATCATAATCATTATCCCAAAGTGAAACAATGACTACGACACCTTAACCACCCACACTGTGACCACGTGAAGGAGAGGAGGTTAATGAGCTTAGAAATAACTTTGTGATAAATCTTCAAACGGATTTTTCTACTGATACGTTATCCTGTGTTATCTTGCCTCGCCCCGCCCTTCCTGACGTCACTGATCGTAGTTCTCCCAGCCCCACCCATGTATAGAGGAGAAAGGTAGGTCAGAGGGGCACCAGTCCTAGTGGGCCCCAGTTATAATGGGCCTCAGTTCTAATGGGTCCCAGTCCTAGTGGGCCCCAGTTATAATGGGTCTCAGTTCTAAGGGGCCCCAGTACTAATCATCTAATCCTTAAGAAGTTTTAAGTTTATCTAACAATTAGGATTGGGGCTTATAAGTACAGGGGCCCAACCATAGTAGTTGTGGTAAGTTGGGGCCTGTTTAGGGTGGGGCCCATTTAATCAGTCACCGAGCGAAGCGAGGAAGAGATGGAGGAGAGGAAAGGGGATGAGGGAGGAAAGAAGGGGGGGGTAGGGAGGAAAGGAGGAAAAATGAGGGAGGGAAGAAAGAGGGGAACGAAGAAGGAGGGGGAAGGGAGGGAGCAAAGAAAATGGGAGGGAGGAGATGAAGGAAACGAGAGAGTTGGAGAGGAAGGGAGAGAGAGAAAGAGGGAGAAAGGGAGAGAGGGAGGAATAGAGAGACGGAAGGAAGGAAGAAGGGAAGGAGTGGAGGGAGGTGGAGGGCTGAACAAGCTGTCATGGTTGTGAAAAATATTAAGAAAATTCCTGTCTGGCGGGGAGACAGTTATGGCCACGTCACCACCACTCTCGTCTTGCTCTCCAGGGCCACACCTCACCCAGTCCCGCTCTAACTTGGCCATGTTGACAGGACCTTCTTCACGATTGGGGTCCATTTTCACTGGAGCCCCTTAAGGATTGGGGCCCATTAGGACAGGGGTTCAGTAAAATTGGGGCCTATTTGAGTTGGGGCCCATTAGGATTAGGACCCATTATGAAGAATGAGGGTTGAAGGACTGTGTGTGAGGAGGAGTGAGTGAGAGGTGAGAGAGGAGGGAATGAGAGAGGAATGAGAGTGTCAAAGGAATGAAGTGAGGAAGAGTGACCAGTAAAAAAAATGTGGAAGAATAATTGAGGGAATCAATGAAAGGGGAGGAGTGTGTGGGAGGAGTGTGTGAGGAGTGTGTGAGAGAGAGAGCCACTTTAACGCACCTCTCGCACAAGACACGTAAGAGGTGTAGCCCGGTGTTGACTGGCAGGTAGGGGAGGGCGTAGCTTGGTTGGCGAGACCGGACTTTAAATTTACAAACACACAAACATTACGGTTCCTGCCTTCCTCTGAGACTACTACTGGAGGGAGGGAGGGAGGGGGCCGGAGGGGGGAGGGAGGGGGGGCGGAGGGGGAGGGAGGGGGCCGGAGGAGGGGGGGGGCTGGAGGAGGGAGGGGGCCGGAGGGAGGGGGGCTGAGGGGGAGGGAGGGGGGGGCGGGAGGAGGGGGGGCGGAGGGAGAGTGAGAGGGAAGGGGGCCAGGGAGGGGGAGGGAACAATATGTAACTGACTAAATTATATGTAAATAACCCTTATATAAGATGGGAATAAAGAATAAAATGATAATAGTAAAAATAACATAACACCAATAATATATACGAATGGTAGAATAAGACAAACAAAAAGAAATTAGCGTAAATAAAATAAAAGAAAAAAAACGTCAAAATTATACATAATATAAAATAATACAACACATAATATACATACGAGTTTAAACGTAATATATAAAAAATACATTATACAAATATCAATCATAATATAGTAACTGAATCAATAGCAAACTCATTACTGACTATATTAACCCAAACTGAAAATAAAAAATAATTCCCTCACACAAACAATATCCCTATCAGTAAGATCAGTAAGGGCAGTGGAGGGGGGGGGCGGTGAGGGGGGCTAAGTTGACCCAGACGCCCCCAAAAAATACCACACACAGCTTATGACACGCCCACCCAGACACTAAAGGCCTGAGGGGTGGGTGAGGGAAGGGGGGAGAGGGGGAGGAGGGGAGAGGGGGAGGGGGGGTTTGTTTAGTCACGTGACACACACATACACACACCTTGACCAGCAGACCCAGGATGCTCAACAGGTGTCAACGTTAAAAAAAAAAGTAACTTGAATTCGACCACTGTACCGTTTATTTTCCAGGGTACACGAGCTACCAATGGAATGTAACCTAACTTAACTCAATATTATCTAACCTGACACAATACAACGTGAGCTAACCAAAGAGGAGGAGGAGGAAGACAAAAAGAAAAAGAAGAAAAAGAAGAAGGGAAGGAAGAGGAGGAGGAACTCCTGAACTGACTCAATGTTGACCTATAGCCACGACTCAAACTTCCCTGAGAGAAATACCTCACCCCTCACCCTCTCTCCCCTCACCCCTCTCTCCTCTCCTCACCTTACTTGTTCCCCTCTCGTTCATTACCCCCTCGTCCAATTTTTACACCCCCTTTCTCCCTCAACTCCTCCCACCTTTTAGTTTCTTTATTTCCTCCTTTCCTTTCCTTTATTCTTTCGTTTTTGTTTCCCTCTTTCTCTTAGAACTCTGATTATCCTTCTTTCTTTTCTATCTTTCTTTTTCTTTCCTTTTCTCTAATATCATCTCCTTCTTCCCTTTATCATCTCTTCGTATTCCTCTCTTCCCCCTCGTCTCTGTTTCTTCTTTCCCTCATTTCTTCCTTCTTCCCCCATTTCTTCCTTATTTACCCCATTTCTTCCTCATTTCCCTCATTTCTTCATGCTTTCCCTCATTTCTTCCTTCTTTCCCTCATTTCTTCCTTCTTCCTTTCATATCTTCCATTTTCTTCTCCCCCCTCACTTCTACCTCTCATCACCTACGTTTCTTCGTCTCTTTTCCTTCTTCCTCTCGCCTGCTTCCCCCCTTCCCTACCCCTTGTTGCCCCTCACTCCTCCCTTCAGTGCCTAGGGTTGGGCAGTAAGAGCCAGCGGGTCCCTCTCATGGAGTTAGCTGGCACCCCCCTCACACACACACACAGAGTGCCGGTGGATGGCTATATTTGGCCCTGTGCCACACTGCTACTAAGGTAACTACACCCATCCTGACCTGCCCTCCTCTCCCTTAATCCTACCACGCCCTAAGTCGACGAGAAGCCCTGACTCTAACTCCTAGCCAGTGGCCCTAGCACACCCCTTGGCCCTATGTACCCACGAGGCCCTGAACTTAACTACTGTCCCTGACCCTCACGATGCTTCAAGTTTTTTTTTTTTTGGGGGGGGAGGGTCCTTAACAGCCCTTGACATTGGCCCTAATCTCTGCCTAACCCCATGTGCCAGAGGTCAGTGCCTTTACCAGATCGGGAGGAGATAAATGACAAGGAGGGCCAAGGTCAGACTGCCCTAAGAAAGACCTAAATCTGAACCCAAAGTCTCAAAGGTTCGTATGTTAAATTTTTTGTTAAGTGGAGATGTCAAAATATATCCAACTGTCCAACTTAAGCAATAAATAAATAAATAAATAAATAAATAAATAAATAATTAAATAAATAAATAAATAAATCCTCATATGGCTCTAAAATGTACTGAGACTATACCTTAATTATTTGCATTAACTAAACAACAATGTACACGTCACTTGGGAGAAACTAAAAAAAAACAAATATGTATCAACAACTTATGACAAAAAAACACAAAGACGAGAAAAACAGATAAACAAGACTTGGGGGAAAGAAAAGGAGATAGAGACGAAGATGATGAAAGAGGACAAACACTAAAATCCAGTGAGAGAAGAAGAGAAAGAGGGGAAGGAAGGGGAGATAGGAAACACGGAAGGTGAACACAAAGGGAGAGACCAATATAAAATACGGATATAACTAACACAGGGATAGAAGAAATGGAATAAACAAGAGAGAAGGGCAAGGAGGAAGAGAGGAAGGAGGAGGAGGCAGAAAAGGATAAAGAAAAAAGGGGGATATAAAACATAAGATAAATTACAAGATTGAAGAGGAGGAGGAGGAGGAGGAGGAGACGGTAGACAATGAAAGAAAAAGGAAAATAATAAAAAAATACAGAAAATACGTAATAAACACCAGGGATAAGGAAGAGGACGAGAAGAGGAGGAGGAAGAAGAGGAAGATGAAGGGGAGAAGGAAGAAGAAGAGGAGGAGGAGAAGGAAGAAGAGGAGAAGGAAGAAGAGGAGGAGAAGGAAGAAGAGGAGGAGAAGGAAGAAGAGGAGGAGAAGGAAGAAGAGGAGGAGAAGGAAGAAGAGGAGGAGAAGGAAGAAGAGGAGGAGAAGGAAGAAGAGGAGGAGAAGGAGGAGAGGGCTGTGTTGGTGGTGGTCGTGTGTACACATTAATGCCGCCTCACACTGGGCAAGAAGCGGCGGGCGTCGACATATGGAGGCGCCAACACGGAGAACACGAGTACCTCATTTATGCTGGTGAGGAGATGGGTGGTCAAATGGGCCCCCAAGTCCTAATAGACCCCATCCTAACCTAAACTACCTTAACCTAACCTAAACTATCTTAACTTAACCCAAACTACCTTAACTTAACCTAACCTAACCCAACTTGACCTAACATAACCCAATAAAACCTAACCTAACTATGAGAATTGGGGTCCAGTCCAAGTAGAACCCAATCCCAATGGTTAGATTAGGTTAAGTTGGGGCCTATTAGAACTGGGGGTGGGGAAGGGGGTGGGGGTAGGGGGAAGAGGAAAGGAGGGGGGCATTCGACCTCTTGCCAATGAGATGAACCACCACAAGAGACAGCCCAGGTATGTCTGTCGAGCATCAGGTAAGATGAGATAAGGAGAAGACAAGGATGAGATAAGAGAGATGAGAAGATATAAAACAAATGTGGAGATAATGGACAGATGAAGAGATAGAGTGCAGGTGTGTGGGGGAGACAAGGCGATAAAGATGAAATGAGAAAGAGAGATAAGAGGAGGATGTGTAAGGGAGAAGATGTGGAGGGAGGGAGGGAGGGAAGGTTACGGGCGGCTCCGTTATGAAGATGAGCTCCCGAATATTTATAGTCGCCAGTGTCAGGTTAAGTTGGCCCTCCGCCATCACCACTACTCGCCACACCCACCTACACCACCTCTACACTAACCTACACCCTTTCTACACCAAGCTACACTTCTACACCCACCTACACTACCTCTACACCAACCTTCACCTCTACACTCTCCTACACCACCTCTACACTCTCCTACACCACCTCTACACTCTCCTACACCACCTCTACACTCTCCTACACCACCTCTACACTCTCCTACACCCCCTCTACACTCACCTACACCACCTCTACACTCTCCTACACCACCTCTACACCCACCTACACCACCTCTACATCCACCTGCACCACCACCACCACTACACCACTGTGACATACAACCCACATTGACTTATATAAACACAGCCTGTGAGAGCCTTGGTCTTATCACCTCCACTCAAAAACTAAACTTCACATCCTAGGCGTGAAGGCAGACCATCACAGCTTAAGACAGATAACACCACCACCATTGAGTTTGCTTCCTTTTGTAAATACCTCGGTGTCTCTACCCCCTGTACCTCACCTGCCATACAACAGTTAATTATCACCTGTACTGTACCTCACCTGTCATACAACAGTTAATTATCACCTGTACTGTACCTCACCTGCCATACAACAGTTAATTATCACCTGTACTGTACCTCACCTGCCATACAACAGTTAATTATCACCTGTACTGTACCTCACCTGCCATACAACAGTTAATTATCACCTGTACTGTACCTCACCTGCCATACAACAGTTAATTATCACCTGTACTGTACCTCACCTGTCATACAACAGTTAATTATCACCTGTACTGTACCTCACCTGCCATACAACACACAGT